ACCCCTGACAGAAAGTTTACGTTTCGTAACTGTATATAAAACCCCTGACAGAAAGTTTACGTTTCGTAACCGCATATTTTTAAAACTTTCGGGAACAAGTTGTGATAAATATTTACACCATATTCCCTAACGACATTATCGAACTCATCGTCGTTTATACTTTAAACTGGTTATTGTGTTAATTAACACCTTTATTCGCATTCTTATATCGTCAAAGTTTTCACCAGGCGCATATTTCGCAAGTGTAAAAACAATTCAGTACAAATTCCCTCTTACCACCCGAAATTATACTTATTCACCGAAAGATTCTTTCTACGTTTTGTTGGATTTCGCGCAAAGTTAAAGAAGGACTATCTAAGTTAGACCGCCAACTCTTGGGTTACTCTTGTCAAACCGAATAGTGAGATTTTGCTCCCCTCTCTTGTCAAACCGAAAGTGAGATTTGCTCCCTTCTCTTGTCAAACCGAATAGTGAGATTTGCTCCCCTCTCTTGTCAAACCGAATAGTGAGATTTGCTCCCTTCTCTTGACAAACCGAATAGTGAGATTTGCTCCCCTCTCTTGTCAAACCGAATAGTGAGATTTGCTCCCTTCTCTTGTCAAACCGAATAGTGAGATTTGCTCCCTTCTCTTGTCAAACCGAATAGAGATTTGCCCCTCCCCCTCTTGTCAAACCGAATAGAGATTTGTCCCCCCTTCTTGTCAACCTAACAGTGAGATTTGCTCCCCTCTCTTATCAAACCGAATAGTGAGATTCTCCCCCCCCCCCCCATTCTTATAACATTCTCACGACCTCAAAATACGTAACGCATTTATGGGGGATAGTAACGGAATATAAATCACGAAACCTCAGATTTAAAGTCCAGCACACTGACCACTGGGCTGCGCTGAATACTGGATGGTTGTAAAGTTGGCTTTACGGCTTTAAACAAAAGGAATGAAATCATACCGAGAGAAATAGATATAAAATCATGAAAATAAAATAAGCCCAGAATAACAACGGAAAAGGCATGATAGGAGTTAGAAAATTTCTAAACGAGTAAAACAACAATTTTGAAACATTATGGAAAATAAAAACCAAGAAACAAGATCATCAAATCTTTGGATGTAATTTAAAATGTCCTAGATTTTAAAAGTTGAAAATACCTAAAGTCAGGTTTTCTGAGGGTGTGGACCATCATATAGAACTAATATGACATAAATGTATAATTAATTTTAGATTATCACTGAGATCGAAGGTCGTGGTTTCTGAGGTTTCCATATCGACCTAATTTAATCTATGATCAATCTCAATCGATGATAAGCAACTTGATGAGATGAAGGTGATCATATTCTTAGATGTACACCCAATAAGGATCAACAAACCATTGTAAATACAATAAGGATCAACAAATCATTGTACATCCAATAAGAATCAACAAACCATTGTACATCCAATAAGAATCAACAAACCATTGTACATATAAAAAGGATCAACAAATCATTGTACATCCAATAAGGATCAACAAGTCATTGTACATCCAATAAGAATCAACAAACCATTGTACAATGACTTGTTGATTCTTATTGTATGTACAATGGTTTGTTGATTCTTATTGTATGTACAATGACTTGTTGATCCTTATTGTATATACAGTGATTTGTTGATCCTTATTGGATGTACAATGGCTTGTTGATCCTTATTGTATGTACCATGGTTTGTTGATTCTTATTGGATGTACAGTGATTTGTTGATCCTTATTGTATACACAATGATTTGTTGATCCTTATTGGATGTACAATGGCTTGTTGATCCTTATTGTATGTACAATGATTTGTTGATTCTTATTCTATGTACAATGATTTGTTGATCTTTATTGGATGTACAATGGCTTGTTGATCCTTATTGTATGTACAATGGCTTGTTGATCCTTATTGGATGTACAATGATTTGTTGATCCTTATTGGATGTACAATGGCTTGTTGATCCTTATTGTATGTACAATGGTTTGTTGATTCTTATTGGAATATAGTACGAAATTTTATAAAATAAGTAAAAACGAGTATGAAAACCTTGCATGGTGTGTAGTACGAAATTTCATAAAATAAGTAAAAACGAGTATGAAAACCTTGCATGGCGTGTATAGTACGAAATTTCATAAAATAAGTAAGAACGAGTATGAAAACCTTGCATGGCGTGTAGTACGAAATTTTATAAAATAAGTAAAAACGAGTATTAAAACCTTGCATGGTGTGTAGTACGAAATTTCATAAAATAAGTAAAAACGAGTATCTGGAAACCTTTCACTTTTTTTCTTAATTTAAAAATGAATTGATGTCAGGCAACTGGGTTTCCCATTTGTATGGGAAGAAATCCGATTTTCAGTACTTTCGGCTGCTTTATTACGTCAAAATTTAAGCCAGCTTCATAGCAATGCATCAAATTCTTCATGTACAAACTTGTAGCGGAAAAAATATTGGCACACACTGCGCAGGCGCACTGTTTACTCCAGTTGACTTATGCCAAACTTCAGCGAGCTGCTCATCAGGCCTAAAAAGTGGACCGGAAAAGGAAAGAGTGAACACGGATCACTAAGACTAGTCTTAATGCTTTCATTTGAAAAGTAGTTTCTTGAGTGGTTTATGCAGAATATAAAAAAATGTACAAAAATATCGATAAAATTACATTCAACGTTTTTTTTTTAATATTGCATTCACACTTTGTATACAAACACTGTGAAAACTACAAGTTTGCAGTTGTTCCTGCCATCCAATTACGCAAATAAAAATCTGTATATTTAATAATAGTTGAGTGGAAGGTCTGAATAAATAAATAAAACTACCCTCTGTAAAAATTAAACAGTATTAAAACAGATAGCAGTAATAAATTACGAATAATGTTGATCCTTAACAATATGTAGAAAAGTGTGCTGGGTGTTCCAAAGCCGTGTTAAAAGAACAGTTGTTAAGTTGTAAAGATGGAGAACAACAACGCTAATATTTCAAACGTGTAACTCTTCAACATTCTTTGAAAATATTGTTTTTCGTGTTCAAATATAAAAGTCGAAAATTTGTTCGTTTCAGTTTTTGTTCGATGTAGTATATATTCACAAGCAACCTTAAGAACTTTACTTAACGCTTGCGTTCTAAATTCAAATTTCCATCGTGAATAGGTATGTAAAAGAAAGTGTAACGGTTTTCAATAAAGTTTGGCACAGTGTTTGTATCATTGTTGTGAAATTTGAAACCTAACGTTGTAACTATCAAATTACATAGCATGCATCGTATACAACAATTGAAATTCTTAAAATGACAGACTTTGCAACATCTCTTTTGGACGCATTGATAAAGTGACACGTTTTAGAATTTAAAAAACCTTTATGAATAGAAATTTCAGAAAAACTGGATACAAACATTATTCGTCGCTTAAAACTGAAACTAAAAGAAAGAAATTTGGCGAATGTGGAAGTATTATACAATTTCAGAGGGTATTTAAATGTGTGGAATATAAAAAAGAACAATATTATTCATTCACGACATCTCCTTTTACGAGATATAACTTTGAAAAAAATGATAGCTGTAGGAGGTCAAATGTCTGGATTAGGTTCAACCCGTCTAGCCGCCTGATATCATCTCGTGTTTTACCGACAACCGTTTCTCCTGAACCTTTAGGTAAACCGCAACTCTGAATAAAGGCTTGTTTATGTGCCACCTCTTCTTGGCAGCCTTCCTTCTTTCAGAAGGTTTGATATATTTAGTTCCTCACTTTAAGGAGGCGTACACGTTGGCATTAAAATCAGTGTAATTTATAGCACTGGTTATGCTACTTTAATATGTTTCTTTTGTACATAAGAGATATGTAACGTTCAAGACACAGAAAGAACTTTTGTAATAACTAAATAATGAACCACGTTGAGTGTTTTAGTAAAATCAACGAAGTTTTAGCCCGTTAATATGGTGTAGAAACGCCTATTTTAAGCCAGATTTATGCGAGATACTTCTGTTCCTTAAACCATTGTCGTTTACCAAACTACGCCTCACTACAAGTTTTGTATATAAAATTTCGGCGCTTGTTGTCCACACTGTTGTGACGTTCTTTATTGCTTCTGACGTCATTGCAAAATTTGCCATTGTAGAGTTCAATAAGCGTGTATTTACTAAGAAGTAGGCCGTCAAATTGTTGCCTTTTCAGTACCGTAACATTGCGATACAAAATTCTTACGTGAAGATTTGTGCCCGGATGAAAACAGTTTTCATGGTTAAACACTATTATCAGAAGTAAAGTACCCAGGGGAGGCAGACCTTAAGAATCAAGGCCTCACAGAAGACGTACATCCGCCGCCAAAACCTAAGACGTTAATTTAATTCAAGACGTCATGACTTATATGAGTTGTTTTATAAAATCTTGCTTTAATTATTCCCAAAACACAGCTGTCGCTGGAAAATTTTCTTTTGAATTGTGTCTAAACTCTATTGTGCTATATTCTTTTTCTTGTCATTTGAAACAGACAAATTCATGCACGTGTTATAGAGCAACTCATGAACCACGTTAGAAAAATTAGTGAACATTTACAAAGTCAGTTTCTCTCGATGTTACTTGTTATTATAAACTACAAAGGATAATATATATATATATATATAGCCAGTGTTTTTTTATTTCACATTCTGGGTTCCGGAAGATTACAATTATTTTGAACCTCTTCATTCTTAATGAATAAAGAGTGGTCACTTCTTTGTGAGGTCAAACAGTTATATAACTTTAGACTAAGGCATCTTTTTATTCAATACATTACGTTGTGTGTATGCAGTATTTATAGTTAAAACGGCTCAAGATTCAATGTGGTAGCATTAAATTTCAAAAATGTTTCGGGGGGGGGGGGAAGCATGCACCCAAAACTACTTCCAACGGCAATGTAAATCGTTGGTAGTTTGATAAAATACGCAGTTTTTATAGAATGTTTTCTAACAGAATAAAATATTTTGACATTGTTTATAATACTATTGTTAGTAAAACACTATCACACCTCAGGTTTTTACTTGCACAAGTTATTCAAATGTTAATTCCTATTTGAATTAACAGCAGCTTTTACAGTAGGCAGCTTCTGATGTTAATAATTACAACGTTTCGACCCATAGTATCGACTCATCAAGTAAATGTTATTATTAATAAATCAGAACTTGCCTACTCTAAAAGTTGCTGTTACTGTATTTTTGAATTAATTATTCAGTTCAATAGGTTCCCCCCTCATTAAACATTAATTTTTCAGAAATCGTTTTTCAGACGTCCTTTGTACTTTTGTAATTCATATTTATAATTTTTTATCAACTTGCGTAATCTCAACAATTTCAGTAACTGATGGAATCTGATTTTTACACAGAAAGGTGCAGTTTAATTTTAAGTGTTTTAAATAATTTGATGGTCGTAGCTTGAAAATGACTGTATTTACATAAGAATGGCTAGTGTATATAAATTTGCTTAACGTGTTTCCTACATGGCCCTCTAATCTCTGATACTTTATAGGTATTGATTTTAAACTTACGCCTTTTGATTGTTTTATTGAAGCTTTAAAGAACAACCTCCTTAAAGAATATTGAATACGTTTTTGTTTTGTTTCCACTGACGTGTTTTTAATGCTAATGGAACAGAAGGTTGTTAAACACTTGGTTAACTTGTTAACTTTTTTAAAATTCTTTGCAGAAAAAAGAGACCTGTTTTCACCCCATTTTCCCGTTCCTAATACTAACTTTTTAAACCTTTTTTCATTAATCCGTATTTTTGTTATTTATAGGTGAAGGTGGGGAGTTTGTTGGGTGGCAAGGTAGGCCTCACGCCTCTTTACACACTCTTCATTTCTCCTCAACCCCTCTTGTGATTTGTAAACGCTTCTTTGCTGTAAATGTAACACTTGTTTTTGTCCACTCCAATTTCTGCTTGCTTTTTATTATGGTCTGTCCTGTCTCTAAACAATTTTTCCTTTTCCATTCTGACACTCTGGCTTATTCGCCTTTTATATAACTTGACAGTTGTATTAAATTCTGTAAATTTCTAACAAGTTTTATCTGAAACTCAAAACAAATTATTATTCGTTTTATCTATTCTTCTAGTGTTAAAGAAGCCATTTAAGTTTCAGGTTATATCAAAAAATTCAGTTTTATAAAGTCACACCTTAATCACCAACGTTATCAAGCCATATACTGTAACACCATTCAAGCGTGTTGTTGTTGTTTATGTTTGTATAGCTAGTTCATTTCTGTGTAATAGAAGTTTACCTTGTATGTGCAGTGTTTCATTGCCCTTGTGGAAAAAGTGTTATTATACCATTTACATGTTTTTTATTCATGATAGCTAAAGAACTGTTTGTAACAGAAATACATTTAAAGATAGGTGGTGGCTCTGCAGTTATCCGCCTTCTCATTTTGTTCAGTGATCACATATATATATATATATATGAACAAAGATATATATATATAATCGTTAATTTTTTTCTGTGAAACTAAGTGCATGAGACTAGTGAAAACATAAGAGTGAGCAATCTAGATAGATAGATACACATCTGTGTGTATGTGTTATGTATATATATATATATAAGAGAGAGAGAAAGGTATTTATATAAGGTCACGGTTCACTGGCAACTCATTTCATCAACCGTTTAAACTAATATCGTAGCTTTCATCTGTTTCCAGCCTTGAGGTGACCACATTGTTTCTGTGTTTTATTTACTAAATATTTTCTCTCGTTTTTGTTTTTATAACTCAGCACTAACTTGTTTAAAAATGTAAGACAGAATCAGTTCTTCAGACTCGTACGTGACTGTCAATAAATACTTCTTCAAACTATTGCGTCACTGTTAATTAAATAGTTCGTCAGACTCTTATGTCACTGTTAATAAATAGTTCTTCAGACTATTGCGTCAATGTTAATAAATAGTCTAATAAACAAGGAATAAAAATATTTTTCTCACTCATGTCAATATTGTCATATATGCAACACTGTATAAATTTGGTCTGATCGATTGAAATTCAAAGTAATTGAAAGTATAGCGTTGCAATGGTATTAACGCTCTTGAAAGTATTACACTTTTAACTGTTAGCTGTATTATGATCCTGTTTCCTTAGGTGTTACATTTTTCGTGTAATCGTTGCGATATGTTTTCTTACCCTGAGGTCATAAATATTAACGTAAACGTTGCATTGTACTCTCTTATCTATAAGTGTCATATTTGTAGTGTAAACGTTAGGTGTCTTTAATTACATGTACAAATTATTTTAAAACTATTTTGAACCCTTTTTGTTATTCTTTAATTTTGGACAGCTCTAGTATAAGCAGTTTAACATCACATACATAAAGTATGAACAACTTTAACTATAGTTAAAGATACGGCCCATGCCAAAAGAGAAAAGCTTCTTTATTATTTATTTTAATGTTTCAGCCTTTTTTTTTTTCTTTTTTTAACCACCTTCAGGAGAATCGTACATTAGTTGTTAGGAATATAGCCCTCTTGTGAGATACCTACGACCTAAGTTATATTTTGTTATGCTTTTTCGGTTGGTTAATTCAGAAATATGTTTACTTACATACATAAAGCAAGTAATTGATTGGAGCATACGATATAAACACGTAGTCTGTTACGTTGTTAATCGATGTTCTAACGTATTCCAGACAGAAAATCTACCATTTTGTGGTATTACTGTCCTATATTTGTTAATGCATCAACTTAGGTCAGGATGAACCTGTAATATTGGTTTCAACATATAGAGTTACATAAAATGTAAAACAATATGAAATACACTGAATGAAACTGTAGCGAGGCAGCACGTGGATGGAGACGACATGCGCATGACCACTGGAAAACAAGTCGTTCTTTTGGAGTCATCAAAACGTTAACAGAGAAGCCGTTTTATTATGATTGTTGTGTAAGATACACATACAAGTGAGTCTTTAATGATGTTATGTTCCTTTGTCTGTCACGTGCTCTTCATTACTGTACCTCGAGATAACATTCGAAAATGCACGAAACTGTTGTCGTAAACCGACCAATTTATATAGACACCAAGCCTGACTGTGGATACGGAGGCAGACAATAGTTTGATATCAGGCTTCATTGTTAGAAGCATATTGTTGTTTTTTTATGGCTAAGTCTGTACTCTGTGTATAGCTAACTTCTGAGAATGATTTGTTGGTCCTTATTGGATGTACAATGACTTGTTGATCCTTATTGTATGTACAATGGAATACACACCATGCAAGGTTTTCATACTCGTTTTTACTTATTTTATAAAATTTCGTACTATACCCTAAACACCATGCAAGGTTTTCAGATACTCGTTTTTAGATATTTTACCACAATATTAGCAGCTGACAGTGTTCTGTGAAATACCAAACATATTGTTGCGTCAGCGAGGTCACGTGACTACTGTCACGCCACTCGTT